AAAAATACACACACACACACACACACACACACACACACACACACACTCAGAAACACAAACAGTGTATGCACAAAAACTCACACTCATGACTCAAAGAAGAGGGGGAAAACATCCAGGTCTGTTTTGTCTGCCCAGAGAAGTTATCTGGTCTAAGCCCATTCCCTGAGTCCCAACTGCTCTGTTCTCAACTCCTCCACCTCTTTCACAACATCCAGCTGGGACATTGTGACCTGTGTTCATTTCTTCTCCATTGCATTTTCTTCCTGGACCACACTCAAAGTAAGAGGAGTATGGAAGCACCTCCCAACAGGTGGTGCCAGACCCTAGAAGAACACACTATCATTTGGCTCTATCAGGCAGCTCTCCCTGACAAGGCACCCTCCATCATTTGCTTACAGGCTGCACAGAATCCAGGAGCTTGGTGAGCTGGTAGAAGCGCCTTGAGCAGGATGTGGGATTTTTTCTCTTGCATGCAATGATACGATCAAGTTCCTTGATGTAGTTCATTCGAAGTTCATCAAAGAATTTTTGATTTTTCAGCCCATCCACTGGAACTGATGTGGGATGAAGACAGAATGGGGAGGGGAAGCATGCCCACAAAGGAGCATTAGATAAAGCACCAAGTTTTCTGGCCACAAACTTGACACCCACCCCACAGGGAGGGAACCATCTACTTGATTTCCTGCAGCTGAAGTCTGTATGTCTGGGGCCTTCAGTTTGCCAGAAAGGTCTTAGGGGAAAGGCTAGATGGACCCAACTTGAAGAGCATCAAATACATACAATGTGCTTAACCTTTCCTTTTTCTAGTCTTCTTATCACATTTCTTAGGACCTATGATTTTACATTATCCACAGAGTAGTTCTGATTTAGACAATTAAAACACATAGCTTTGAATACCAAATTTTGACTCATTTATCAGCTAAAAAAGCATTCTGCTTAGAAGAGACATTGTAGAAACATTTTTGGATGCCAAATAAACCCTGTCTGAGTTATTTACATAGACCTTCTCTTGTTGGCAGGGGAGGAAGTTCTTTCTAGGAGGCAGTCCCTTCTGTCCTGCAAGAAATATAAGGTAGGCCTTGCCTGATTCTATGGTAGAAGTATGGAAAACTTCAGAGGTCTGCCAAAAGGTTTTATCCCAAAGAGAGGATCAGGATAGGTAGAAATCTAATGGAGGATGAATTTTAGCAATGAAATTGGTCTTTATCTATGAAATTTATCCTTGTTAAGCAAAATGATGCTAAGGGAGAATGGAGTGGGAAGGGTGAAAACGAAAGGGAAATGTCCAAGAGCTGATAACTCTTTAATGAAAAAAGCAACTGTTCTCTGAGCCCCTAGGCCCCCAAGGACATTCCCTACCCCTCCAGGCACTTACTAATGCTGAAGAGCAGCAGTGCCTTCATGCATAGGAATTCCTGGGGGGTGATTTGGAGCCATCCAAATTCTTGAGAGAGGTGCCTCATTCGGACACACTGGCTGTACATCCGGGACTTATGCATACGGTACCTGAGAAAGAGACACACAGAGGAAGGGGAGAAATGAGGAAGGTTTATAACAAGTCCAAGAAAATGTCTCTCGTTGCTCTCCCCTCGCCAGGTTCTCCAAGAAGAGCTTGGTGTTCCTCTTGTTAGTACTTCAATGTCAAGAAACAAGGTTGATATTCCCCCCACTAAAAAAAAAAAAAAATAATTCCTGACATCCTGATAACTACTCATCTCTCCTGGTCAGGATATGGGTAAACACATGGAAATTCCAGGTTCCTGTGTCCCTCCTGTTTCCTGAGACAGGGAGAGGCAAGTCTAACCAAAATGGGCCAGGCACATGGTCTCTCTGACTACATTTTCAATAACCTAGCTACATCCAGAGCCAGAACAAGCCTTCCAGGTATCACAACTTGGAGATTTTATAGGAGACAGAACTTAGAAATCAAGTCTTAAAGTAAGGATACCAAGATTCTTAAGTGACTATAGTAGTAGTTCATCTTGTCAATTTCCCTGCCTCTTGTCTTGAATGCCATTTCCCATACAAAAAAATTAAGTATTTATTTAAATGCTCCTAAGGAAGGAGATTCACCCATTGTCCCTTCAAAATGAGTTCCAATGTTTATCAAATCATCCAGGAAGTGTTTCTGAATGTTCAATGTAAAGGTCTCCTGCTGAGGAAGAGCTTAACCCTCATATATTGGTTCCTCCTTACTACAGTTTGGGAGTTACAAACAGTGTGAGCTGTTTTCATTATAGTGACTTGTGAACAGATCATCACATTATCACCTATAACTTATATGGGGAAGTGGCTAAGCTTCTTATGGGAAGCAAACTCTCTTTTCCATGACTGTCTATAGCAGTGATGGTGAACCTTTTGAGCTCGGCCTGCCAGCATTTTGAAAAACCCTAACTTAACTCTGGTGCCGTGTCACATATAGAAATTTTTGATATTTGCAACCACACACATGTCATAGGTTCACCATCACTGGTCTATAGCAAGCCTCTAAGAGAAAATACGGCATCCTCTAGCTGGTAGGCATTCTTGGTTTTTGGCACTCCATAAATTGTGTGAGAGAGAGTATCTTGTGGAAAAAGTAAAAGGAATGTGACACCCACTTAAGTGGTAAGGAAAAAGACCTCCCAGATTGTGACTGAAGGTTGTGGTTTAATATTTTGGTTCCCAAACCACTAGCATAGTCCACAACCTGAGTATCTCTGGCACTAGGTGGATGGAAGCTCAACACTCTCAGAGAAATTTTGGTTGGCCTGAACAAAGGGGGAAGGAGGTGGATGGTGTAGAAATATTCAATTCTGACTGGAGCACAACTGGAAAGAAGTATTTAGGTAGTAGCACAAGTCAATTGACCAAAACACTGTTGCTCCAAGCTCTTTCAATATAGAGAATTTTTAAATAACACCTGCTGACTCTGGGGCCTGGATCTATTCTGGTCTTTATTGTACTTTCAGGACTCTGTTGATAACAATGCTGCAGTCTTTTTACCTACCATTGATATCGTGCTCCTGGCATGCAGGACTGCTGTAACACTGCTACAAGCCCCAAGAACAGAGAAATTAAGGAAAGATGGGGAGAAAGGCAACAGAAGAAATTCAGAAAAGATAGGAACAGAAAAGGGAGAGAAAGGGCAAAAAGAATAAGGAAATAGTTAAAGGGAGAGTAGAAGGTAGGGAACATGGGGTCAAAAATGGAATTCAAGAGAGCAGAGGTAGGTGGGAGTAAAGGAGGGGAAATGAAAATTGGAGAACACTGAGCATGGTGCCTGGCAATTCTTAAGTGCTCAATAAATTACATATAGGAAGGTGCCATTATCATACTATTCACCAACAGATGAGAAGAATGAGATTCAAGGAAGTTAAGTAATTTACCAATGGTCATACAGGTAGGCTTCAAGCTCATTACCCTTATATGTGTTTCCCAAAAAGGTCAGGAACAAAAAAAAAATGCAGGGCTGATGATAGGGTTTGATATAAGAGAAATCAGCAAATGGTTTGGCTCAGATTCCTTGTCTCTCTCTTTGGGCTTCAGTCTCCATATTACTAGTACCTTAATGAGGCTAACGACAATTAGTGTTTTTCAACTAGAGAGTTACTGTCTCCATATTGGGTGCTAAAATGTGTTTAGACTGTCACAGTGACTGGAGTTTTATTTGGTATATAGTGGACCGGTACCAGGAATGTTAAACATATTCCAATATGTGGGAACTTCCTGTGCAATGAAAAAGTATTCCTCCAAAAATGTCAACAACATCCCTGTTGAGAAACATTGGTTTAGATGATATTTTAGGAATTGCAAGAGCTCTAGCATAGTGGGTTCCTATGAGAAGAAGGAGACAGGGGGCACCTATTGTTTCAGGAGCTCTGGGGCTTGATGTATTTAAGACCATGTGGGTAGTCCTGTGGTATCTTTTTTCTGGGTGGGGGGGGCAGTAAAAGCATTTATTTTCATTTTTTATTTTTTTAGATCTTTATTCTTGAGAGTATTAAAGATGTTTCGCGTATCCTCCCCCATAACCCTCCTCCACCCAGATCCAGATCCTGCCCTACACCAGGCCTTCACCATAGGTCCCTGTGTAAAGCAAATGTGCATATAAGTTCTTTGGTTAATCTCTTCCTGCCCCTCTCACTCCATTGCACTGAGATTCATTAGTCTGTTTCATGTTTCCATGCCTCTGGTTCTATTTTATTAATCAGGTTATTTTGTTCATTAGATTCCTTGTTGTTTCATTTTGAATTTTAGATTCAATTGTTGATGGATATGTATTTATTGCTATTTTATTACTCTTATTTTGATTTCTCCTCCTCCTCCTCCTCCTCCTCCTCCTCCTCCTCCTTCTCCTTCTTCTCCTTCTCCTTCAACATTTAACATTTTAAGTAATACTGGTTTGGTTTTGATGTACTCCTTCAGCTTTTTCTTGTCTGTGAAACTCTTTATCTGACCTTCTATTCTAAATAATAGCTTTGCTGAGTAGAGTAATCTTGGTTGTCAGTTTTTGCTTTTCATCACTTTTTTTTACTACAATTATAAAATTTTATTAAAATGTTTTTTATATTTATATTGTTAATTAAATGACAATGGTTCCTCATAAATTCTGAACAGAGAATTATGTTCCATTAGTCTCTGCTCAGACTGCTTATTAGCCAACCAGAATAGTTGATATCTTCTTCTCACACAGTCAGGTAGTTGATGTTAAAGTTGGCTGATGATACTGGTTCCTTTGTATACCTCCGGGGTTGCTGAAAGAAGAAAGTTCTCAAGAAGTTTACAATTATATTGAGGATATTTCAAGGTGGTAATTTTCTTGGGGGCACTTTTAAAGAACTGCAATAATTTAAAAAATCCCCTGCTTTTGACCTTTAGTTTCTTTCTTTATTTTTTTCTGTTCATCAAATTATTTATTCACTTAATTTTTAGATTTACTTGTTGATAGATGTGTATTTGTTGTTCATAGTTTGTAACTTTACCATTTTCTTCTTCTTCCTCTTCTTAAAGAATACCTTTCAGCATTTCATATAATACTGGTTTAGTGGTGATGAACTCCTTTAACCTTTTCTTATCTCTGAAACTCTTTATCTGACCT